CTGCTCACTCACTCCTACCCAGGGGACAGCGGGGAGAATCGGGGGACAAAGGTAAGGAGACTTGTAGGGTAAGAGAAGAACCATTTAATCATGGGAATAAAAGAAAACGTAAAATAATATTGATATTAAATTAGTAATGATAATAATAATAATAGTAATAAAATATGCGAATGAGCAATCCCCAGTGCCATTGCTCCCCCCCCGCCAACCAAGCCCGGCCCATTCCCAGATCACGATCCTGCAGGAGCCACAATCCCAACCCGAAACCGCAATCCCAGGAGAGCCAGAGCCCGAGCCAAAGCCAGAGAGAGCAAGAGCCCCTCATGGATCTCCTGCCCATGGGGGACAGGAGATGGAACAGCCCCTTGGCAGAGCCAAATGCCAGATCACATTGATTTAACTACAGATGCTTTTTTGCCTTCACTTTGCTTTTACCATGGAAGTGTTGCCTCTGGAAATCTGCAGTGGGGTAAGTTTTAAAAATATTCACATTCCAAGAGAGACTAAGAATAAAAAAAGCAAACTATTACTGCCACCTAGGAAGTGATGTTTCCAGGGTGTTAGAGCACATCACATGCTCTGCCATGCTCTCGGTCTTTACGGTACCTGTAAAAGGAAAATAAATAAAAACCCCAAGAAATGAAAACGTGACTTTGTGAAACCAGGTTAATCCCAAATGCATCCCCTGAAAGATGGCTCAGTGGATGAACAACCACCCAGAGGCTGCAGGGATGAATCTGTCCCCAGGGAAGGGCTGTGTGGGGCTGGCAGCTTCCCACGGGCACATTCCCCCACCTCCCACATCCCTCCCCATCCTTTCACTTTCCTACTCTCAAATTTTGACTCAATTTTGCTTATTGATTCAGCCGCGCTCTGCCTGACCTTACAGAGCAATCTCTGCTCTTTTCAAGTGCCACTTGGTATTGACTCTGCCGCTGAGCTACGACTCCTGTAATTGGTTTAACAGCTCTTTGAGGCCACTTTGTTTCTGATAAGATACCTACAGATCCACGGAGAATTTAAAATAGTTTTGTTGTCAAAAACAATTACACCAAGAGTGTAAAAGCAGCATTTCATCCCTGCAGTCCCTCTCCAAACATGCAGGTGAACAAGCCGAGCAACACCAAGGCAGGAGCTGGGGATGGACTGTCCCTTGTCCTCAACCCCAGAACTCCCTTGACCCTTCAGCTGACGATGGTTTTGATCGTTAGGAGCTGCTCAGAGTTGAACTGTGACCCTCTCTTCTCTGCAGGGACTCTCCTCTATATTTAGTGACTCTCTACCAAATCCATACTCCAGGAAGGATCTTTCTGAGCAAAGATGTGGCACAATTCCAGTCCCCGGTGCTGCATCCTGGTCCTCAAACAGAAGTTACACCAGCATTTTAGGATATATACTAATAGTTATAGGAAAACACACACACACACACAAAAACCCATCCCAAAACCTAGACAACAGCAGTGACTCACAGCAACAGCTATGTCACCATCCAGCAAAGTCGAAGGAACGACTCCACCCTGTAGCACACTCTGATTTCTAGCTTTCCTCAAACCACACCAGCTCCCTCCAGTCTGCTGCCACTGCTACTGTTTGAACTACTTGCCTTGGATGAATGACTTGCAGCATACTTCTTTTTTGTTGTTGTTATTTTCTACACTGAACAAGGCAGGTATTTTCAATATGCTTTCTAACAAACAACATTATGCTTGTATTTATTGATAAAATAAAATAAATCCATACAATGAAAATCACAACATTATATATAACACCATTTCTCAGTTTAAAAGATTGTGTTGCATGAGATTTTCAGCAGGTGCAATTTCCATTTCAGCAAAGACCTGTGTGGCTAAGCTTAAGCACAATATTTTCCTGGGAAAATATCTGACAGGAAATCACTAGCAATCGCAAATAAAGTACAATCCCCTCACCCCCACTCAAAAAATAAAAAAAATAAAAAAAAGAGAGACAGGAAAGAAAGCAAAGCAGCAAAGCTACTGCAGCCTGATCTGTGTAGAGCAGATGGGGTTGACACCTCAGCAGCAAAGCCACAGGTACAGCCCTTGGGTTTGATACGAGTTGAACACGCTATAGTCAGCTAGAGGCTGGTGGATCAAGATGGTCCATCCCGAGGGACTATACCTAAGTGTGGTCATTGAAATTGGATATTAGGAGGAGATTTTTCACCCAGAGGGTGGTGAGACACTGGCCCAGGTTGCCCAGAGAAGCTGTGGCTGCTCCTCCCTGGAAGTGTTCCAGGCCAGGCTGGATGAGGCTTTGAGCAACCTGGTCTAGTGGAAGGTGTCCCTGCTGATGGCAGGGGGGTTGGGACTGGATGAGCTTTAAGGTCCCTCCCAACCCAAACCAGTCTGGGATTCTATGTTGCATCCATGCCCATTGCACAGGCATCACACCAGGCGGTTTGTTGGACAAAACACAGCAGTTTTCTATCCAAGGAATTGCGATGAGCCCCAGCAGCACGTGAGGATTTGGGCTGTGGCAGCCAGCGGACGCTGCTGTCCCCTGTCCCCAGGGCCCCTCTGCCACAAGCAGAAGCAGCCGGAGCCGCTGGCTCTGCTCAGCGACGTGGGATGTTCCCCTTGGCTGGAGCACAGCAAAGCGAAGGGCTGTTTACTTTGCCCAGTTCCCTCTTCTGTGCTCTGTGTGAAATCCGGTTAATCATCTTCCCTTCTGCTGTCCTACACGAATTTGTACAATAATCTTACGCTTTCAAAGAACTACAGGGTGATTCAGCTCTGTGACTACATGGAAACCTAAAGCTTTTGCTACTAAATGGTTTTCAATGCTGGCAGCAGCCTTTGAAATTCTTTGGGTCTTTCTATCACCTGGTTAAATCACTGCAGACAATAATTTAAAGCACTTCATCTTGGTCACCCGCGGGCCTGAAGCCTTCCCAGGCAGGGAGCACAAAAGCTTTGCCACGCTCCCTGCATCCCACCACTGCTACAAACGGGCCCAACTGTGGTTAAAGCCGCTTAGGCTGCTCCTTATCTCTCCCTCGGCAGGGAGAGCAGAGGTGTTTGAAGCGTTTCTGAGACTTGGCAGACCTCCTTTCCAGTTGAAACAAATTCCTTTTAGGGATGCAGCGGCTGCCCATAAAGCCCATTGCAGAGGTGAGATGATATGTGCAAACCTCCATCACCTCTGCTTCCCCCTGGTGACCTGCTCTTCCACCGGCCAACTGAGGCCAAACAATCACAAATCTCTGTACAAACAACTTCTGGAACAGCAAAGACCAAAGCTCTGGTGCAGGCACCTTCCTCTGGAGGAGACTCACAGCCACAGCACAGACCTGCCCGGACGACACTGCTGTCTCCTGCCTTCTTACTTCACTAACACGTCAGTTTAACAACTGCAAATTTGGAGATAATATCCCTGGCACAACATCAGATGTGTTAGCTGGGACATGAAATTTGCTCACTCATTTAAAAGATGCAATAATTTTATTGACAGCAGTGAGCGTGTCTGAGTCTTGTGTTAAAGAAAAACGTTACATCAAGATAGAGGGGACAAAAAAAATTAGCAAGAAGCCAAAGGTCTTTCCTGCACAGGGAAGTTTGGGTTCAGTTAAGTGGGGATAACTGTGAGTGTGCTACTAAAGCCATGCAAGATCTCTGGGAGAGCATTTGAGGGAGGTAAATGGTGCCTTGATTCAGCTGGAGGATGCTGGGGAAGCAGATGGGGTCAGGGCTGGGGAGGGAAAAACAGTCCGACAGCAGTTCAGCACAACCTCATATTTTCATTTCTCCCTAAAGACCAGGCTTGCAGGTGTTTGCCAAATCACTCTGAAATTACAGCTCTCCCCAACCAAGGTTCAAAGAGAAGTAAAAGCAGATCTCCCTCACCAGGCATTAGCTGGAGCCACTTGGGCAGGGACAGGAACGATCAGAAGGGGCCCAGGACCCAGGAGGTAACTGAAGTCACAATGCTCTGTCACTCCCAGTTTGATTAACCCTACACATTGCAATAGCAGATCCATTTTTCACCTCTGCCTCCTCAAAACACACAGAACAACTACAATTCTCTCTTTTTAAATATTTTAAGTGCAAATCTGAGAAGGTTTTTTCTTGCCAATGTACCTTCTGATGTTTTGGAAAATTAATCAGATTGTCCTCTGGCTGTTTATTGCCTTCTTTCTCCAAGGCCACCATCCCTATCAATAAATGCAGTGGGAAGAGGGAGTGACGTTCTCCTTCTTACTTTCTGTGAGACAGAGTAGAAGTTGCAAACCCTTGTACCTAAACTGTCCCAGCAGCAGCTGCGACATGCTGGGGTTGGATCCCTGCTAGCTGCTGGTCCCAGCCATACCCTTGCCATGAGCTATAGGGCAAGCCTACCTGGGCTGGTTTAAAAATAACCAATATAGATAGTGGTGTCAGGTTAGTCTCAGCAGCTGGAGCTCAGGACAGACTATTTGTACGTCCCTGCTCATGGCAGGGGGGTTGGAACTAGATGAACTTTAATGTCCCTTTCAACCCAGACTATTCCATGATTCTGTGATTTATGATTTACCCTGTGGTGTAAATGTGCCCCGAGGCTGCTATTTGTGAAGCAGAGCACTCGTCAGACTAGGCACTGCCCTCACTGCTGAGCTCCAGATGCACAGAAGTCAAGTAGATCCTTTTTTGACAGTTGTTTTTTTTTTTAACTTAATATCTTGTATTCAAAATGATGCAGTTAAAAGATGCCTCTTTCTGGACAATATGACAGCTAATTCCCACTCGTCCTACTGAAAAGATACAATTGAAATGGATGCAACAATAAAACCAATGGCTAATATGATTGCTATTGATCATTTGCCAGTTTATCAAATGAAGAGCCCACCAGCTGAGTGGAGGAGGAAAACAGTGCTGCCTTGCATGTCTCAGTCATGAGCTAACTGGATAGATTTAAAAATCTATGTAAAGATGAACATCAGGATGTAACTTATAATTGTAATGAATCCTGGTACATCAGATGCACGTTTGTTCATTTGCACCTACCTTTTCGGCTGACTGGGCAGTGCCAAAAAATATAGGAATGAAGGCAAGCCATACTATACAGGTAGTGTACATAGTGAATCCAATGGGTTTAGCTTCATTAAAATTCTCTGGGACACCCCGAGTCTTGATGGCATACACAGTACACGTCACCATTAGAAGGATGCTATAACCCAAGGAACAAATGATTTGTAGATCCGTAATGTCACATTTGAGAACTCCTCTGGCTTGGTCAGGGTTCATAGTTTTCTGCTCATCATAATCTATGATAATGTTGGGTGGGTCAACTGCAAACCAAATAAAGACACCTAGAAGTTGAACAGATATCAAACTCGAGGTGATCGCCAGCTGCGACGTGGGGCTTATGAGCCGAGGTGCTGTCACTGACTTTTTGCCCTGTTCAAAGATGCGGTAGATGCGGTTTGTTTTAGTTAACAGGGCTGCATAGCTGATGCACATCCCCAGGCCCAAGAAGATACGGCGGAAGGAGCACACTGCGACGTTTGGTTTGGCGATCATCAGAAACGTGATGATGTAGCACAGAAATATCCCTGTTAACAGGACGTAGCTGAGTTCCCTCCCAGAAGCCCGGACAATGGGAGTGTCGTTGTATCTGATGAACGTTGCCATGACAAAAATGGTGGCAATAATTCCCAACATGGCCAAGAAGACGGGTATCACAGCCCAGGGCGAGTGCCACTCCAGCTTGACGATGGGTATGGAACGGCATCCTGTTCGGTTCTCGTTGGGCCGTTCGTTGTATGAGCAGAGCAGACAAGTCACCTCGTCAGCCTGGTACTGATAGCCGTCACAGAGCTCGCAGTGCCAGCAGCACGGCATCCCCTTCACCATCTTCTTCCTCTCTCCTGGCTTGCAAGGCAGGCTGCAGACCGAGGACGGGACTTCACGCACCCCTTTGCCCCACTGCATGTCATCAATCTACAAGACACGTGAAATAGAAAGAGGTTGGTTAGTCAGATATCACTGTCAGACAACGGGAGTGGGAATGGAAGAGGGGACGACCAAGGGGGAACCTACAACAGAGAGAAAAGAAATGGATGAACTTTATGCGTGGTAGACTCCTGGAAAAGCACCAGGAAGCACACACACTAGTGTCTCCACGTGGGGCTCTAATGCACGACTGCATTTACCACCTTCATTTTTATTAGTAGTTAATTCTGGTGGAATGACACACAGCATCAGATAAAACAGCAGAGTGTAAACCTCTTCCTTCTTTCATGAAAATTAGTAAGAACATTGTAATGGCACCAGGGAAGGCAGGAGTTGTGCTCATGGAACTGCTTTCCACACATCTAGAGCTCAGGGCTTCTTACCAAGACCAGAACAAGAGGCTTCCCTTCTTGAAACCACTACTGAGCAGGTTCATCTATTAATGAGGTGGAAATGTGTCTTATATAGGGCATGGAATCAGTGAGAACGTGGCAAGATCTGCAATATGAGCCATGTAAGAAATGAGAGGGACAAAAAAAAAATAGTCATCAATGGAAAATGCAGTAATTAGCTAATATTTCATTTCAAAGTGACCGTCTGCTTTTGAAATACCACACATGCTTCTGGGAATGCAAATTATCAATGGAAAGGTTCACTTGTTCTGCAGTCTCAGGAAACCTAAACTCCAAAGTATGTGCACAAAAGCTCCCATGTACTGCAGAAAATTAGATTTACAAACCATTTGGAAATATTCCAGATTAAAGCCACTAACCAGTTTCCAAGAACAAGGAAGGTTTAACATTGGAGCCCCCCCGAGACAGTCCAGACTGGAACCACTGGGAAGGTCCTGGCAGTCCCAGTGCAAATTCATTGCACCAATTACCCACTCAGCTGCCAAGCAAAACAGCAAAATTTCAGTGGCTTCAGCTTTTTTTTTTTTAGGTTACTTAAGTCCTTACAAGCTCCACTATTTTTCCTACAAGTAAAAAATTCGAAGATGAGTTTCTGGAATCAGCTGCCTTGATTAATAACATAGACAGGAAGACTGGGGTTCGCAAGTCTTCAGTTGAAGGATTAAGTTGCACATTTTTAATTTAATTCAAAACAGATCCTGTATCATCTTCATTTCATATATTTGAAAAAAAAACAACAAACCCACCTTAAAGTCACACACTGCCCAAATACTGCACTACCAAGGGTCTCTGCTGTGAATGTTATAAAAATAACTCCTCAATAACAGATATTCTAGAGGTCTGCCACTGCTTGAGAAACTTTATTAACCTCCAATATTCACATTTTATTCTGAAAAAAATAAATAAATAAAAAATCCATGAATTTTCTTTCATAATGCGCTGTGCTGAAGGTACGCAGCTTACAACTGTACTGGTAAATCATAGTTTGGTCTCACTGGAAACTCGTACAAGGAGCCAGGAAATACATTTCTGTGCTCAAATCAGTCACTGCTCCAACTAGTAAAGGCTGGCAAGCCCTTTACAACCTGGAGTTGAATTCCTGGGCTGTGCGTATGCCTGACAGTGACGTGACAAAAGGTGTTAGCAGGAAAGAGAACCACGGAGATGGTGAGGAACGAGAAGCAGGGCCAAGGTTTCCAACCCACAAAGCAGGTGTGGAAAATTTCATGACAATTTCTTAAGAAACCAACTTTCTTCTTTTAGTCTTAATTGCCAACTCATATCTTGCCCTTTTAAAAAGCAGACGGAGACAGGGTAACCGTAACTCACCTGTGTCAGACACACGGGTCCAGCCTGGAGCCTCAATTTTCCATCAGAACCATGAAACACAGAAGTTTCTTGACACCCTTTTTACCGTGTGCATTGACATGAAATGAGAAAGGCATCCTAACTGCAGGGATTTTGACCCAGTGATGAAAGGATTCACACCAATTTTCTGCACGCTAATATCTCACAGAACCACAGAATTATTAATGTGTTATCATATCCCCACCCCCCCGGTATGACTATAAAAGGATGAATTTCCATATTCTCAAACATATTCCATGGCACTGATGGGTAGTTGGGACAGCCTAAAGGTACTTTACTCTGCACAGACACTGTGTGTAAAGAGATAAACAGAAGATCAGGCAAAATTATGGAAAGTCCTTTTTTCTGGTCTCCTGGGACGACACCGTGATAACTCTGTATCACCGGCCTCAGAAAGATTTGCAGCGTTCTGCTGCTTCTGGCAAGAAAATTAATGATGAAAAGCGCCTGTCAGATAAGCCACCTGGCACCAGCGCCTGGCATGGGGAGATGAGGAGCTGAGTCAAGCTGGAGACACTTTCCCCACACAGAAAATAATATTTTTGAAACATTTTTTTATCTTTAAAATTAATTATTGTTCCATAACTCCTTTCAGAAATACAAACAAATGCAATAAAATGTTCATCTCTGTCTTTGGCAGAGTTAGGATCAAATAATTGTGCCTGGTGTACTTTTTTTCTGTCCCTCTTTTCTGCAGTTTCCTTCAAATAATCTACCTTTGGAAACATGGATCTAAAAAAGACTTCTGTTGTGGCAAGTAACTGTTATATCCAGCCATTTATTGCATTTATATAAATCTAAACTGGCTTATATTCATTGGCTTTCTCCCAGTACTTCTAGTCGCTATGAACTGGAAACTGCTTACTTAAAGATATCGTTGAGTTCAGAGTTTCAGGCTCAGGATCGTAAAATCCTGATAAATCAGCCAGGATTCCTTTTATCCACGAGTACTCTAAGAGGACCTTCAACAAAAACAAAGCAGCAGAGCATTTCATTCAGAGGCAGGAAGCACAGCGCTGGTTTGCTTTCTTCTTCCTTAATGTGCCCATGGGACGTGGTCACAGTGGAGCCCACTGCCAGCTCCTGCCCAAGCTCTGGCTGGTGGCAACCCACAGGAGCACCAAACTGCCATCAAAAGTCTAAACTTCTTGCATATTAAATCCTGATTTTAAAGGACAGAAGTAAAAGTGGTTTTGAGGGTGACAATTTCCAAAACAGTTGTTTCAATGTGCAACCAACTTTGCACACCAAGATTTGTAAGCAAATCACATCTACTAAAACCACAGATGACAAGATTAACTAGAGAAAAGGCAGATCCAGGATTCAGGAGGTTCATGCTCTTTTGCTGACCCTGCCCCAGGTCGATTTGATCAACTTGGGCAAGGCACTTAATGTATTTTTGTTTTTCTCCCATTTCCCTATCTGTAAGCTGGAGGTGCTGTCAATCATATTTATAACAAAGACCTACAGAAATTTCCGAGATCCATGGAGGAATGGTGCTATGTACTTACAAATCCTACACTTCTATAAACAAATAGAATAAACTCTAATCAAAAAGCCATTACCTGACAATGCTAGTCATAATCTAGAAATCAGTAAGCGAACCATTTCATAAATTGTGAGAAAGTACTCTTGCAATTAATATAAATGCTGTATTTTTATGTAGAATATTCCATTTCAGTTGCATATAGAGATAGCACACAAAGAATTAGGGAATTTATTTTTTCCAACCGACACCACTTACAGATGTAGCCAGACACACTGTACTCACAGCTACCCAACAACGTCACATCTTGAGCTTAGCACCTGGCCAAGTAGGTACCGAGGGACACGGTGAACTCCTCCCTTACAGCTCTGCCAGATTTGGGGAGGATGCAAACCCCAGACTGCACTAGAGGCTGCAGACAAATCTGATGTCTTGAAAAAAATCACGTGTCTGCCCATCATCCACTTATCACCACGTTAAGTGGCACATCTTCACCTGTATAATGTGCAGACTGGTGCTGTTAGAGTTCATCCACCGATGATTTCATCTGATAAAAATGGGGGGAAACCCCACAACTGGTTCGTTGTAGGATGTTCAAAACAACTGCTGAAGAATGTAAAAGTTGGCTGTGATCCGTGGTACTTGGATCTACTGGAGCCACTATGTTACAGTGGGACACTCTGTTTTGTCCTACCACCACAATGCAGATGAAAAAAAAAACAACCCCAAAACCCTAAACAACAGAAAATAAAAATCCCCCTCCTGGATCCAGGGCCTTCTCCACAAGCACAGGGTAATGATGCCTTGGCTAGAGGTTACCTCTAACTCTTGTCATCCCTGAGCTTTCCCAGCTCCTACATATCCTACGCTTTATAAAGGCCTCGAGCTAGAGGGATGGGCTCCATTCCCGATATAAATTCTCATTATGTTCACTACAGAACAAACATTAACAAGAAATGCTTAGTCGGTCTCATAAGGCCTAACGTAATTGTTCATTTTAATGAATAAAGTAACTCAATATACGTGGATAATTTAAACATCGCTGCTTTTTTTTCTCACTACCACAAACATTTCTGTAATAAACTATTTGTTCTGAACGGAATTGTTTCATGCAATGTTTGATTAAAATGAAAATCAGTACAAAAATAATTACATTAGCGATAATTAACCTACTTGGGGAAAAAAATAGCCACGTTCCCTGATAGGACTTTCATAACAACTGTGCCATTAATTTCACAGCCACATTAGAAAACAATTGCGGAGGATTGTGCTCAGATTTATTGCCACCTTCACAGATTGCTTTTAGACTCCAGTTACTAAGTCAGCAGTTCAAACAGTTGTTGTATATTCAACTTTACAGATAGCAATATTTGCATGACTTAGCTCTTAGGGCTTAGCTATTAATGTCTTGTAATTAGTTTCTAAATCCAGGGCTTTAACGGGGTAATGGTTTTAAGCTGAGAATATGTCAATAACACACAGTCAACAGAGCCTCCTGCAAAACAGCAACTGAACCCCCTTCAGTAGGTGACAGACACGATAAACTCGCAGAGAAAGATGCAAAGCTACTCCAACGACTTGCCCAGGCACTGCAAATAAGGTGTTTCACCTCATACTGTAAGTTATTTTAATTTCACTGCTCACAGGGGACTGACAGAAAAGCCTAAAGACGAGTTTGGAGCCTGTGAGGTGACGGAGGCAAAAAATCCCCGACGGTTTTT